AAGAGTTAGTGCAAAGGCGGCATTATCGCCTATGGCGATTTCTTCCAGGCAACCTTTGTATAAAGAAAAGGAAAATAACAATAAATGTGTAAAAGTCAACATACAAAAAGAATAAGAAAAAACATGCAATAAATTGTAAATTACATATATAATAATTAATAATATTCAATTAATAATAAATTATATAATTAGCACAATTATATACGAAACACTGATATCCAACGGTGCCAGTTTCTGAGTATACTAAAAGCTAGCTATAACCAAATAGGTCGATAGCACACCATTTCAAGATGTTATACGGCTGGGGTATTTCACCCTCCGTCAAGTGAACCATGCTTGTATGTCCGTCTCTATTATAAAAAACCTTCTTAATACAGACTGACCTTCATTACCTTATATTATAATTCTACGTATATCGACCACTACTAACGTCTTATACGTGCCATACAAGGCCGTGTACACACGAAACCATTCATATCCCATCATAGAGGGGTATTACGGTGGTCGTCCCAATATGGCGATAATGACATCTATTGTTCAAACGCACGCGCAGCCAATTAATATGCAAATCTTTGTTTACAAACAATTATGTTGAAAATCGTGTATTCTATTCAAAATAAATAGTGGCTACACTGAATGTTAACTGCATGCTTTATACTAGACTGCAGTGTTGTTTATGATCGAAATATGGATGGGACATAAACAGGTTTAGTTTTATTACACTTAGAAAAATTAAAAGTAATGTGTTGATTTTAGATAGAGATTGACAAATGTCGTAACCCAGAACGAAATAATCTTTAGTGTCCTTTTTAAATTAGTTTGTTTAAATAATATATTTGATTATAATAATATTTGAGTTTAGTTTGTTCTCCCGTTACTTATTTAAAACTGTTTACGTCGTGTTGTTGTTTAAATAAATCGTAAATAAGTTAACTAAAACATTACATTTGAATACTTTAACATTTTTCACGTGTTATTTGCATTTTATTGTATTTATTGCACATGATGATACTATGTAATATTATAATTAAAAATCGAATATAAATTGGAAAAAATGCCATATCGGGCAGGACTTGAACCGGTCTCGTCAGCGTTCCGTGCTGTTGCTCTACCAATTGAGCTATCGGCGGACTCGCCGATTGACAAGAATTTTGAATGAAACATTTCGCGTTTTTAACCGCTTAACACTTAAATTTCTAGTACTCGCGTAAACTGACAATACTTACGCTAATTATTACTTCGTGGTTGTCTATTGACAATGAACATTGAATTTTTGTATGCGATTTAAAAAAGTGAATACTATGACTATACTGGTACTTGTTCATGAAACACTTGTCATGCGATATTGTAACCATGTATGTCAAAAATAAATCTTCATCGCCTTAATTAATAAAGGCACTTTTAAAAACCACAAGGACCAAATGTGAATGTCGTTCAATAAAATACTTTTTGGTAAAAAATGGGAATTTATCGCGGTTAACTCTGAATACGTTAAAAAAGCGTAAGAGTCGGCTGTTTCAATTCTTTATATATTTTTCGTCATTGGCTTTGCATAGGTAACAATTTTTTCATGGATGAATTTTTGTCACTATTTAAAGGGATAATCAGTCATTAACTAGAATTGTACTGTACGTACTGTACGTAATCGATAAATATTGAATATATTTAAATGATAACAATGCAAAAATACCCCAGGCATTGTAAATAAGAAAAATGTTGTGCACATTAAGTGTGTAAGGATCTTGTAAAAAAAAAGGAGTGGCGGCGAGTTTCTTGCCAGTTCTTCTCGTTCGTTAATTTGGGAACTGGTATACTATGGACATAGCTACCTATATGAATAAATGACCTTCGATTTTTTTCAGCACATTTTTTTCATTTGTATATAAGGGTATATATACGACTAAGTAGATTCATTAAACAATCCATGCCACTTACTTGCAGTCTTTCTTTATGTGACAGGATAATCAGTGCCGTAAAAGTTAGGCCTATTAATGTCTGAACGGCCTAACTAAAAGTCAAAAGCACACTTAATCTAGTTATGACTGTCAACACTTGCTATTGACCAAATAGCAAACTTGTCTGCTCATATAAAATGGCCTAAGTTATAATGTCAGTGACTCTTAGCCTACACAAGGTCAACTGGATTGCAGCATGTCTCCAAAATATAATTTCCGTATTATTCGTAAACAGAGACCCTTTAACGGGGTAAACAACTTTCTGGGACCTTGGTATTACTTGTGTACGGCACAGTTGTATAATTTTACGACGCCTCCCATCATTACGTATTAATTCGATATTATAACTCACTCTTACAACATTACAACTTTTACGAACGTAACATTTTCAACGACATTTAATCCCCAACGTAAAAAGAAGGGATAGTGAGTGTATATGTGTCTAACTGTCTGTCTACGCCTTCATAACTCCCGAACGACTGGACCGATTTCATTTAAGTTAGTTATTTTTTGTTATTTTTAATACATTATTGCCTAGGTATTTTATTTATTTTAGCTTTATTATTTATAACCCGTACTACAGTAATACTACGGAAAAAGCACATACAAAAAGAGAAAACATCTTACGTACTAACTTATAAATAAAAGGCGGCCTTTTCGCTGGGCAGCGATCTCTTCCAGGCAACCTAAAGTACAGGAGACATGAAATATAAAATGACTTATTAAGTGGGTAGGTGTAAGGAATAACAAGCAAAAGAAAGGGTACATCGTAAAAGAATACATAGCACAGAGAGAGGGTAGAAAATAACTTAAGAGTTGGAAAGGTAAAACTTGTGGAGTAAACTTTTAAAAGAACGGTATTTTGAGTTTGTTTTTTTTTAACGGTTTTTCACGTTTTTGTTGCGTGGGTCTGTATTTTTTTTTTTGTTTTTGTAGAGCAATGATTGTTTCTTATATATTGAATTCGTTCTTTTTCTTAATTTAAAATTGTGTACCGCAGTCTATTTTTCTTTCTCAATAAAAGCTAGTAGTAGTAGCGTATACTTATTGGTACTAGAACAGAAAGAGTAAAAACCACAATCCATTCCACAATCCGTTTAACCATTTAATTTAAATACTGACGAATACTACATTTAGCATGTATCTGCTTGGTTGAATATTCTTTTATAATAAAAACATATGTTTTAGGTCTTACGTACGATTTTATTTGAAAATTTCTATCCTTTCATATTTCACCTAAAAATTCAATTTTATACTATTATTTTAGGACTCTGAAAATATTCAATTTAACAATTGCTAATGTTAATACGGTATAGAATAAACTTGATCCAACATCGAAAAAAGAATGGGTTTGTTTGTATTATAAAAAATCCTACTACTAGCAGTAAAAAATGAATTTTACAATACTTCGATGAAAATGTTAAAAATATCATCGTTATATGCTATCAATCTTATGATATAAATAATTTTGAAGGAGTTTCGCTTTATGGTACTTGGTGTGACTTACTCGTCTGTTTATTACTTTACATTACTGCTGACTTGATTACGAGTTCCAGAGTTCCAATTCAGTATTGGGTATTTCGAAGTTTCCTCAGAAAACCTTTTGTTCTAGCTTCGGGTGTTAAAGTTGTTTAAAATGTTTTAGAAGTGTTGTGACTAAAGCCACCTAAATTATAATCAGGTTCGTATATATGTAATTTGTAAGTGATCTGTTGAAATACCATGAATAAATAAGGCTACTAATGTATTGAACAAAAATAATCTAATAAGTATAAAAAACTCGTCTTCACTTAATAATGTCACATGGATATCGGAGGTTATAACATCACTTTAAAATGTCCTTATCTTTCTAATATAGACAGAATATTGCTCACCTCATTTCCCTAGATAACAAAATATGTATACATCTAAGTATGAACTAGACACGACTCCACAGAATTAACTTATAAAATGGTAAAAATAAGTTTTTAGTTCATTTAATAAAATTAACGAAAAACTTCTACGGTGCGCTGTCAACTTTTGGTTTTTCAATATTCAGAAACTTAAAGACCTCAACCGAAAAGCGATTAGGATGAAATTTTAACATTCCTACCACCCATTTTACATCCACATATTCCAGACAAAGTCTTAAACAATTTATGAAATAGCATATTGGGTCTAGTGAGAATCGAACCCAACCCTGCTGCCATTAGATCAACAAGCCCGTCAAATAATTTCCTAGTCAACCAGTAAAATTCCTGTTATATTTTAACTATTATATAGTTGGTCATGTTAAAAAGAAATACAACGGAACAGTTTCAGCTGACTTAGAAGGCTTTCAAAGAACACATTTATCACTCACTTATCGTAAGAAAGATCGACAAGTAGTTAGAAGTTTCGTGAGATTCTTTTTTTTAGCAAAATGCGTATATCTTGACAATTATTTCGCGATTCAGTAGACAATATGCGACGAAAATGCAATAATGGTATGACTCTCTACATTAAAAATATAGACATTTTTGTACCTGATTATATAATAATATTTACGTGCGGTGAATACCTATGCAGTGCGATTAACATAGATTTTTTTAATGCGATTACTGCGAGAACTGGGACATTAAAATGTCCCAGTTCCAGAGGACTGGCAAGCATAGGGTTGACTGGTTAAATAACCCAGTCATATAACATTTACACTAGATGCGCTGTATGATGCTGATGCCTATTTGGGCTTTGGATATTCGGAAATCCATAGACTGAAACCGAAACGTGACTCAGCCTCACGGTTTTTTCATCTGTCGATGGTAGTTCATCACCGTTTGGCTTTTTGATGGCCTACCGCCTATTCATATCCAAATTTCCAGACGTTTCATTTCAACAGTTTTTCGAAAAAATGTAAATTATTAAAAACATGTTAAACCTAGTGGGGATCGAATCCACGACCCGTTGAGTATTAGCCATACATTGCTATTATTACACTAATAAGCTCGACGTTTTTGAAGTGAGTTATAAAGAGACAAATTTCAGGGGATATATTATTTTTCCTATAAATATTATTTTTCCTTCCAGGGGTTACGATGGCCGATGCTCTGTCTGCCTATTCTCCTGGCGTCAGCGTGTGGAAGCGATATATTAATGATCACAATGGGAGGAACGAAGTCACATAAAATACCTTTTTGGGAACTCGCCAAGGGACTTATAAGAAGGTAATGTTTACTGTTTAATAGTAGTAAGGTATTTTTACTGTGATTTATATATTTTTTGTAGTCATTGTAATTTTGGGGTTTGGGTCTTCTACTTAGTCTGTCATTCTCGTCATTATCAATTCCAGTTGATGTTACTTCGAAGAATATAAAAACAACATACATTGCGAGAGACTACAGTATGAAAAACAATTATAATATGACAGTTCTACAAAAGATAGAACCATATTTTGTATACCTAATAATTAGAATTATTAGGTATACAAACAAAAATAAAATTATATTTAGTTAGGTTTAAAGAAACCTCAAATGTATATGTTATTTATTTCGGTTTGCATCTAGAAAATTATGGTTTATTCGAATGTAGCTTTTCGGTTTAAAATAAAAATCGCGACTCTTTATAGCAGAAAAGGTTTCATAAAAGTTAACAAATAAATTCTCAAATTATTATTATACTTAGTTGAAATAAAGTGAAGAATTTTAGAAATCTCATATCAGACGAAGTAATCACAATTTAATACGAGACAGAATTCCTGGAAATTTTCGTAGTTCAGTCGCGGAATTCTTATTTCTTAAGACGGGCGTGTCGGTGTTATTAAATTTAAGCAATTTTTAAACTGTTTTATTTAGCTCACCCCGTTTGTTTTATTTATTATTTATTCTTGGGCCAAATTTAGTAATTCAAATTTTACCCTCTTCCTGTCAACCGATTAATCTGAAATTTTGTATATACTTTGGATTTTGGTGACAATACAATTATGTTTATTCATTATCATTATAAATCCAAGATGGCGACCGCTACAAAATGGCGGATAACGTAAGTTTTATCAATCCCATCAACATGGGTATCAAATTAAAGGTCTCAACAAGTACCAACAAACACTAAATGAATTAAACAGAATGCGAAATAAAACTAGAAAATAGAAATAGGTAAAAAAACTTTTTAAGTAAAACGGTTTTATGTTAAACATACATTGCAATGTTTAAGATAAATGTGCTAAAAACCAAAAATAATAAAATAGATACAGTCGTGGGAATTATAAACATATGCATAGACTAGACTAAAATAAAACCGGCGGGCACATCAATTGTCTGCCTAACGACGAATTAAACGATTCTTCTATCGCACATTAATTCGATAACTTGTAATTAAGACGTGTAATTAATAATCTAGAGCTTTATGTCGTGGTCTCGCCGTTAACTATTATCCAAGCGGATTTTTTATCAGTATACCTTTTCAGTTCTATTTTTTATTTTTAAACCTAAATAAAAGAAGCAAACTTAAGTAAAATATTCTTTCATTTCAGAGGTCACAACATTACGCTCATCAGTGCGTTTTCACCAGATTTCCACATTGAAGGCTTAGAAGAAATAGCACCGGAAGGACTGGCTTCATTCATTCGAAGTTATATGTCTCTAGACCTGGTAGGAGCTCGGATGAGAGGAGAAGAACCCTTGCCATATACGGATATAATTCGGTTTGGTTACGAGGTACGAATATATCCCGGTTTTACTTGCGAAGTGCAAAGCATACACTTTTTCATTTCATGATCCTGCGCAAACTCGACAGCAGTGTGTAAAGTAAAAGCTATAGCTTGTGAAGTATTAGCTAAGCTGTGCAGCCGCAAACTAGAAGGAAACTTTTATCTATGCTTACAAACAAATTTTATTAATAAAGAAAGATGAAAGAGCAAAGAAAAACAATTTAACGAACGTGTCCTTTGTTAATGAATGAATCTAAGCCAAACAACATAATTTTACTAATAAAACTTAATAATAATGGCTCGGAAACAAGGCTTTGGGATTTGTAGTCGATAAAAAAATTGTTCATCATTTGTGAGTAATATAAAATACTTGTAAAGCAGTTTTTTGAAGTAGTGCGTAATGAAATTAACCATTTTGATCACGTGATATCCTTAAATGTAGTGATTGGAGACAACATGAACGATCAACGAAAAACCTACCTTATATAAACCAGGACGTAGGTTAAAATGTATTTTAAAATTATATAGTTATTTGTGTCCTCAAAATTATTATTAAATTAAAGGTCAACCAAATAGTTGCCCTTCTCTTAAAGTTTTAAAATCATATAAACATTTTTGAACGCGTTTAAGTTTTGATTGTATTTTTCCTTTTATCAATTCTGAACACACGAATGACACAAACTGAGGAATAAAACCAACGATTTTAAAACTGTTGAATACCTTAATATCTATTCTACTGTTAAGAATATTACATTGCTTACCATAGTTAGAACTACATTGTAATATGAAGTTAATAATATCTTTTCAGGCTTGCGACGCATTCCTCAACGACTACGAAACGAGATCATTCCTTCGTTCAGGAAGGACCTACGATCTGATCATCCTTGACGGCGCTTATCCCGAATGTGCGCTTGGCATTGTCCACAGAATGAAAGTTCCCTTCATGTACATCAATACTGTCGGGTTCTATGCTGGACCCACGAGTATAGCTGGTTCTCCAGCCCCATACTCCGTGACGCCGATCTTCGCTAAAGCCTTTACGGATAATATGAGTTTTATGGAGAGAATACGAAACACTTTCTGGCATGTAGGAGCCTTCGCAGGGCACGGTATTAGTGTCACTATTCTTCAAAGTGTGTTGAGGAGACACTTTGGCCAGCAAATGCCCCACGTCTATGATATGGGACGGAATGTCAGTTTTGTATTGCAGAACGGACATTTTTCCGTGTCTTATCCGAGGCCGTTTTTGCCGAACGTCGCCGAAGTTGCTTGCATACACTGCAAAGAGCCGAAGAAGTTGAATGCGGTTAGTTATCAATTAATTTGCTAAAAATATTTTAATTTATTCCTAATAATTAATTTTACTGTGATTGTTTTACGACATATTTGTATGATGTGGGTTTGTACCTGAATATCGAAATAATATAATTTAAAATCATGTTAACTTTGCTAGGATATATTAGAAATATACGCTTCGTTTATTGGGTTTTGGTATATTTTAGGATTTAAATAAAGTTAAGTTGAACTTCCATGAGAGAAATAAACATGGGTTTGGTAAGCAACTGTAAAAATATTGGTTTAACAGAGTTATATAAATCAACATTTTATATGGTTACCGTAGACTAGTTTAAATTTCACAAACTTAGCACTAAATCCTTCCAGGATTTAGAAGAATGGATATCCGGTGCTGGTGAAGCTGGTTTTGTCTACGTGTCCATGGGCTCCTCCGTTCGGACAGACACCATGCCATTATCAGCTCATCGTCTGATCGTCCAGGCTTTAGGCAGGTTACCACAACGAGTGTTATGGAAGCAAGATGCTGAACAGAATCTGACAGATATTCCTTCTAATGTGAGGTTGTATAAGTGGCTGCCACAGCAGGACTTATTAGGTATGTTTTAACTAAAAGTTATTTCATGGCTTTTATTTTATCCCAAACCAGTCTTATGCCTAAATATTTCTAATACTAAAAAGAAATATGTATATAATGCTAAATTACTTAACTTTGTGTATCATATAACCTTTGCTTGTTACTATTTTTAATTTAAAATAAAGTACTTTATTGTTTTTTTAAGATAGGCACCTTTTTAGTAACATATATACTTTCACGCGCAATAATTCGTAGTAAGTACTTTTTTTTAACTTTTGAATTTGTACGATTGTTAGTTTTTTATGTGTGGTAATCTTACTTAGTTTCTTATCCCTACGTCTATTTTATAGCCTTAGTCATACGCACACAATATATTGTTATATTGTGGAAGACACTGTTTCTCGCCTCAAAGCTTTTTTTTTTAATTTTAAAGTCGAATGTTCTCAGTAAAACTTGTAAAGGTACTGTCTCTGAGTACATGCCTACATACATTTAGATTTCTATAAAATAAAAAAATCCCTAGTCAATAAGAATATTAGTTTTAACTTATCATAAGAGACAGTACTGTTTAGTTTCCTAAGTAAATAAATACATATATATTATTACATTGTTTTATAAATTTCCATTTCAGGCCATCCCAAAATCAAAGCCTTCGTGACACACGGTGGTCTCCTTAGCATGTTCGAGACGGTATACCACGGAGTTCCCATCGTCAGCATACCAATCTTCTGTGACCACGACTCAAACGCGGCGAAAGCGGAAGTCGATGGCTACGCTAAGAAACTGGACCTCCAATACTTAACAGCAGATGAACTATACAAATCGATAACGGAGGTGATCAACGAACCGATGTACAGGATCCAGGTTAAAAAACGCCAGGTATTATTGAGGGATCAAAAGGAATCGCCGCTCGAGAGAGCTATCTATTGGACGGAGTACGTGATACGGCACAAAGGGGCATATCATTTGCAATCGCCCGCGAAAGACATGACCTTCATCCAATATTACATGTTGGATATTATATTTACGTTCATAGTTTTCGTGGTCCTCGCATCAGCGCTTGTTTCGTACGTAATAAGATTCTTTAGGAGGGTGAAACTGCAGAGTAATCGTGTGGTACAGTTTATAGAAGCGAGCGATCTGGTTAAGCGGCGTAAACATGATCAAGCGACGTTGATAAAGAAGAAGATGTGATTGTAGTTGACTGATTTATTTATAGTTACCATTTTTGAGTATGAACTTAACTAGATAAAGTATGATACAAGGTCAATTCCACTTCTGGGGCGTGATGATATTGAGGCTTGTTACATAAAAAGTTTAGTCTTCCAAGCGAAATTAAGTTTAGACTTAAGATTTGTACACTTTTATAATATAGTCTTTGTATTTAAATTTTTGTTTACTAGTAACACTGATTTACAGTTACCCAAACAGTTGTATGTTTTATTTTATCGTTTATTATCTATAGTTATTTAGTATAACATGTTTATGTTGATTTTGTTAGTTGAAGCTCGTATCTTGTTGTAATTACCTCATTTGTAAGTCTTTGAAAGTTATACTCGTTACTATGTACTTACGTAAAATAACACGAGAATATTTTAAAATGTGAGTTTTCTTTGTCTAAAAAAGCAACGAGTTTATGTGTCTATATATTATATCCAAAGGTAACATAGTTAAGCGCGAGAAATCTTAGGTTCGAATCAGAGAGAAACAATAATGTATTCAAATCGATTAATGAAACAGATACATCTCCTTATGCCCTGTAAAGAGGAAAAGAGAGTTCACTATTATATTTCACGGTACCAAATGTTTGTTTGTCATTCGTTTCGCAATAACACTAAAATTGTGTTTGTTCGGCTATAAGCAAAATTACTATGATGATTTTGATGTTAACATAGAGGCGCTTGTGTTAGCAATGTTTAAGTACAAAGTGTATAAGATTTTTTAAACTTTTCTATCCTACATTGAAGGTATTAAATAAAAGACGTATTTAAATGTATAAGTACAATATTTGTGTGATATAAATTAAGTGATATCAACGTGTAAATATATTGTAATTAAATTTAATTTCAATTTTGTTTTATTTTCTGTTACAAGGACAATAATCTCAATGAAATATGGGACTATCATTCATACAACGTTCTATTGATAGGAAAGTATATTGCACTTACATTTATTTGTGTCGACAATTATTAAATTAAAATTTTTAAAGATTAAAAAAATTAACGACACAGACTGGCTAACCAATTAAGCTACCGAGTCCTACACGTCATCGTCGAATTTCTTCAACCTATTTATACATGCACCTCTCGCACAATGCAATTTTAACCTTAAAACTCAAGTAACCAGTATTAGTGTTATAATTGTAATACATTGTTTTATAAAGCTAATAACTATATAATGAGTAGTAGTAATTACAATTACAATAAACAAATACGTTTTAAGAATAACTCAGTGCTACATTACAAAAACTAAAATAGATTTGGTATAAGTAAAGAGTACCTGATTTACAATTTATTGAATGGTGATTCCGTACTGCCGAGTACCATTCGAAACGTCGGGTCCCCGTTAAAATTAATACATGCGCTTTTTAAACCTTTTAAATGCGGAAGTAGTAGTGATAAGCGCCAAGCCAGGGTCGACTTTTATTCATTCCTTCTTATAGGAAGGAGAGCTCACAACAACTAGCTGTGTCGGCGACTTCGTCCGCGTAGAATACTTGTTTTGGGCAATCAAATTTGTTTTTGCAAACCGCTACATCTTTATAAATTTTTGTTTACGACATCAGCCGCGTCATGTCGCTCGCATCCCGTCGTTCTTGCAAGTTAATCTTAAAAGATGGACATATAGTGTCGCGAACATTTTTTAGATGATTTAAAGAAGAATCATTCTTTCATACATATGATTTGGGTGTCTTGAACCGTTTTTGCAGCGTACGCGTCTGAAACCCACAGAGATGAAATTTCCCCCCGTTTTGTTCACATTTCCCGCTGTATCTACAGCCTTCGTCGATAAATTCAATTCGAACCCGTAGTTCCTGAGATTAGCGGGTTCACACAAACAAACAAACTCTTCAGCTTTATATATTTGGTATGGTTTGGTAAAAGTGCAATCGAAGAAGGAAATTATTTTGTAAGGCTTATTCTAATAGCATTACTGTAAAACTATGAATTATATTTTACATTTCAATTTTTGGCGGTTCCATATTCTGGTCAGTAACAGCCGTTTCTTTGTTTTCCACATTTTCCGGCTTCACTTTACTCGGTGAGTCTGCAGAAACGGCGAAACGCATTATGTTGTCTGAAAAAAGGGAACTATGAACATCTTTTGTAAAAAAAAAGTTATATTTTTTGACGTTTTGTCTTAAGTAATCGAACTTGATGTTTTTTTGTAAGTAGTTAAAGGGAACCCCCCCCGTGGGGAACACCTTCTTGTGTTCGTTTTACTAATCGATTTTTTATTTTTTTTACAGACTTACAGGAAAGTAGTTGATAAGACTTCTGTTTCCTGCCCGACCGAACATTCTTTTCTTTCCCCGGGAATTGTGCCCCGGGCACTAAGTCAAAGGCAAAAGGTTAATTTCTAACCATATATCTACAGGCGGTCTGTACATATATGGTTAAACATTAACATTATATGTTTACGCGAGAATACACATTAAAATAAATTACTTTTAACGGTTAAACGAGCCCTATTACCACAACTACTGCTGCCGTTCTAAAATTAAATGAGAAACCGATAATTTCTTTTTATATATTGGTTTTAGAAAATACTTTAAAGTACTTTACAAATTTTACAATCACATTTCTATCTTACAGAAGTCGTCCGACCGATTCTAATAAGGCGAAAGAACGTATTGTGCGAAATGACTGAAAACAAAATTTCATTTCGCGATTGCTTTAAAAATTTACAAAACGCGCTCGATCCGTAAAAGAATTTGCTTTAATATTTCTCCGGGGCTTTAGATGGCAAAGGGCTATAAAACTTCGAGCGAACCGTTCGGGATTCAGGTCACAAGTAAATCGTCAAATGGTATAGAATTGACACGGATTTCAAATATATCCGCTTACGGGACGAATATCTGCGGTCGTAGTGAAATTGACTAGGACAGATAAGCATTGCTTTTTTTAATGTTAAAGGAGGGTAGACCAGCATTTGCTTCACTTGATGGGAAGAGAAATACCCTAGCGATATAACATCTACAGAAGATGTGCTGTCGGCCTATTTTGGACATTCCAAATGTCTTTTGTTCATCTTTATATAACCTTACAGTTAACGAGTAATATAAACGCACAATTTTCACCCTCACCTTTGAAATGGAACACCAGACATGCGAGGGCGCCAAGGGAACCTCCAGCGACTAATAACCAACGGACCACGCCCACTATGCGTTTCGGTATAAACAGCTGATGTTTTAACATCTTCACAAAGGTTTTGTTCAGAGCTAAACCCTGGAAGAAGATTAGATTACAAATGTTAAGCACTAACTGTAATGTTACTTGTTTCAGGTATTAAAGTTAAATTACATATACAATCACATTTTATGACTCTTAGATTTAAGCCCGCATTAGATATAACTGAGTTAATAATTCAATCAAGAAGCTGAGAATTTAATCACTTTTCAGTTTCAGTCTATCAACTTCAGAATATCCAGAGCCTTATTTAGATTCATTAGGGTTTTTAACTAATGTATGCAATTATCTTGAAAAGGTTAGTTGTGTTATGAAGTCTTCTAGTTGATACACTAATTTATTCTTATTACGTGTATTATATTAATAAAAAGGAAATAAAATTAATGAATTGTTACTAAACTTTTAATTATTTTTGTCTAGAAGGCCAATTTTTACGCTCAGTGAAAGCGAATTAAAACTTTACGATCGCTTACCAACAGATGGCGCGAACGTTCTTATTATTCAAGGAGGCGGTGCATTATAAAAGATATGTTTAATAGTTTAGTTCTTAAGTACTGTCACTATATTTTACGCGAGTAGTACACATCTAAATAAAACACTCTAACGGTTTAAAACGCGATATATTAGTTAAACTTATTTGAAAATTATTTTTAACTTCCGCCCGACGTTTCGGATGCTTTGCAGCAGTCTCCCCGTGACCACGGCTTTAACTAATATATCGCGTTTTAAACCGTTAAATAAGTTAGTTCTTGAAAGTAATTTCATCTATATTTCTATGAAAGAGGGACAGATAACTATGTTTACTTGATGACACTTGAAATATCCCAGCCATATAACATGTGAATAAGATCGCTGTCGACCTATTTTCACAATTCACAGACTGATACCGAAGCGCAATTGAATTTTACGACTTTTTCGTCTATGGACATTGGTCAAAGTGGTCCAAAATAATCTAGGCGCCCCGGAAATGGGCCGGGAATTGCAAATATAATTTACCTTTTTATTCTCATGCGTATTACAGCTAACGTCTATAATTTACTTGAAAAAGGGTGAATTTTTATAGCACCACGATTCATATGACGTAGTTCTCAGATCATTTTCCTTGCGCGCAATTTTTCTACCTTGTAATTTTATTCGGATTTATTACTGACGTCATTATATGAATATATAACATAGAATCAGGTATTTGAACGGTGACGGTGACGTCATAAATTTTCAGATATTAAAGGTATCGAAAGACATTATATTAAGCCTAAATACTGTGTGTTGTTTACGCGAGTAGTACACATTTAAATAAAACACTTTAACAGTTAAACGCGAGATATATTAGAAATCTCATTCGGAAATTATTTTCAAAGGATCATCGTACCGTAGTTAAAATCAATTTCAAATAAGTTTAACTAATATATTTCGCGTTTTAACCGGTTAAAGTATTTTATTTAAATATACAAAGCCTTCTTTGTATATGAAAATACGGCTTTTGCAGTATACTTCGTATTACTTTCACCTAATTCTTTCCTTTTAGTAACACTTGTCACAACGCGATTGATACAGTTGAAGAGATATTAATTTATCTTCGAAGAGTGGAGGTTTGTCACTTATATAATACTAGCTGTGCCATCGACTTTCTCTACGTAGCATAGTTATTTTGCTCATCTAAATTTGTTTTTAAAATTCCTCCAACGACGTCATCCCCTGCCCGTCATTTTTGTAACTTAATTTTAGAAGATAGACATATTATGTCACAGACATTTTAAAGATCTTTTAAATATACATTATTATTATATACATATTTATTGAGTATCTTAAACCGTTTCCTCAGCGTACGCCACGGAAACCTACAAAGATGAATAATTTTCCCCGTTTTTCCACATTTCTCTATTATCATATCAGTTATAGGCTATAGCCTTCCAAAATAATTGCTCTAACCAACACAAAAAGTTTTCAATTCGAACCAGTAGTTCCTGATATTAGCACGTTCAAACAAACAAACTCTTCAACTTTAGTATAGATGTAGGTGTTTAAAGACAGATAATTATACTACGCCACGGTCGTATCGTAGACCATTATCAACAATCGCTTAGTAATAATTTCGTCTGTCTATAGGCGTTTAACTTAGTCAAATTTAATGAATGTCTTTCGCGCAATCAGCAATACATAATATCATTAATTATAAAAATAAATAAACCGCAATCTGGTTTTCAGTACTTTAAAAGTGTTTGTATTAATATCGCAATGAAATACATTATAAAATACACTCTTTTAGTTATTATTTTTATTTTTTTAGGATCTCGGGTCATGCTTTTGAAACTTATTTTATCACTATGGTTGGAACATGGTTTTACAAAACCTAATTAAAGGAATTGAAATTTTATATTTTTTTGATTTTATTTTTTGTATAGCTGGTTCAACGGCTTCGTTATGTAACGCGTTGTAACACTAATATGCCTTCCATTTTCAATATTATTTAGTTTTGTTAAGAATCTATTTATGATTGAAAAATTGGTTCTGTCCGTTCCGAGCTCCATTACTTTTTAAAATGTAATAAATCTTAATAAAGACACTGATACTCACTTCTTCAATCCAAAACAAGGGTGCCATGGTGTTAGGCAAGTCTTTGAAAATCTCCATCTTGTCAGTTTGAATTAGCTGCATACTAAACTGGACTCGTTGCTTCGCTACCATCGGAGTACCTGTAATCTATATGTAAATGCTATAGAAAAATCTTTGCTTGATCAGGAATCACAGTAAATAACTGGTTTAAATCGTGTTGGATAATTTACAGAAAGTTTTTTGCAGTATATATACATATATAGTTATACATTGGATCAATTTCGTAATTATAAGAGTTGACTATAAGATCCGAAATATCCGAAGTATCTAAAAGTTAATGAACAATATAAAAACATCACTGTTCTAGAAATGCCTAACAAAAGTCGTAGCTCAATATTAAACATGTTCAATAAATTTGTGAGCGACTTCCTAGCTCAATCATAGTGGGTTCCAATCCCGGGAATTTTTTATTGGGAAAAAAAGTATATAATACATTCCTGTAAAGATTGGGTGAAATAATAGTCTTCTGATTTTTTTCTATGATACAAAACTGAATACAAAGATTTTGGACAAAATAGGCGTACCGGCTCAAAATCTATAACAATTTCGTGCTGATCAACGTCAGGATTCAAACCCTTGACTTCCTTTAAAAGTTCCGGATCACTATCCCAGTAGTGAGGCATCGAGACATACATCGGTGCTCCCATGCATTTAGTGAGATCCATGAGACCCTTTCTAGGGCACTTATCTGGTGCCTCACAGTAGCATTGTAGTACTGGATCGTTAGCCAAGTCACCGATATTGGCGATGTATCGATTCGTTTTGATGCCCTGGTAGGAGGTCTTCTTTTGGTACCAGGGTTTAAAGGTTCTAGGAAGAAAAAGATACAGCACTATTATTATTAGAGGGGGACAGACGAGCACTGGGTTCATTTGATGGAAGGTGATATACCCGAGCCATGTAAAATCTCACAAGATGTGGTGTCTACCTATTTTTGGCTTTGGATATTCGGCAATCTACAGACTGTAACCGAAACGCGATTAAACTTCACAGCTTTTTTATTTTTCATCTGTGGTTCCTAACACAGATCTTTGATTTCTAGACCAAGTCCAAGTTAATATAAATTGATTAGAATTATGTTGAAATTGATGGGGATCGAACCCGATACCCGATAACGACCCGTTGATTATATTAGCCATACATCGTTACTAATAGAACGGGCGAGACCGGTTTAAATGATAATTGTCATTAATTTTATTAAATTAAATGGATTACTGAAATTACCTGCACAAATCTCCCGCAAATGATTCAAGCTTATCAAATTCAGTTAAAAATGGCGGGAACACAGTCCCATCTGTCCCTTCCAAAGTATTACACGTGTCCCGCCAGACACTTTGCTCTGTTTTACCATCGATCGCAACTACCTTACCGACGTCCATCACATTCTTGATTCCTCGTAACACGGTTACTACGTGTTTATCAACTGTACCGTTTCGCTAAACAAATATAATAGCAAAATAAATAAAAATATGTTAAAAGCTAATCATTTACAAAACTTCGGTGAAAAGGATTATTTTGTCTCCTTTTTGCCTTGCGTTCTGCACTGTACTTACCATTCCGAAAAGCGAAAACTTATACTGATTATTCGGTTCAAAAATAAGTCGGTCTGCCGCCTCCTTTTTAATAGCTGTACACACTGCCTTAGGAGCGAACTCGGTTTTAGCACAATCTATATTCAGACCTCGAAACATTAGATCCAAAGGTTTCACTCTCATGAAAATATTTTCAGGGTTATCAAAAATACCATTGAACGCTTTCCCTAACATGTTTAACATCGCTGGCTTTTCACGGGCTACTATTGTTGCCATGCTCTGTAATACAAGATATTTTATCATCACTAAAACTAACATATAGTAATAATATACTGTCTATAGTTTACGCGAGTAGTACACATTTAAATAAAACACTTTAACGGTTTAAAACGCGATATATCAGTTAAACTATTTGCAGCAGCCGTGGTCAAGGGGAGACTCTCTCTGTCTCCCCGTGACCACGGCTGCTGGAAAGCATCCGAAACGTCGGGCCGAAATAAAAAACTCGTTTTAAACCGTTAAAGTGTTTTATTTAAATGTATACTAATAATATTATAAAACTGAAGAGATGTTGAACCAAGCTTAGGAACTTGGTTCGAAGTGACGTTTTTTTAATCTGTTGGAGCATTTCTCGAGGACGGCTTTATATTAAAAGATAGACATATATTGTTGTAGATATTGTTTAGATCATTTAAAGATCATTCTTTAGAACATATTTTTGGGTATCTTGAACCATTTTCGCAGTTACGCAAAGAAAACCCAGAAGACTGAATTTTCCCATTTCCTTTTTTATATTTTCTGCTGTATCTTCGCTCTTATAAGACTCATCGCGATTTATAGCCTTCCTCGATAAATGCTTTAAGTAACACAAAAATAATTTTTCAATTCGAACCTGTAGTTTTTGAGGTTATGGTAGTAGATAGATGTTATTTCTTTGTACGCGTTTTACTTTGAATAGGTAACAAAAATGGCAATTATAATAACTATAGTTACTGCAATTGAAAATAATCAATCTAACGTACAATCATAAATATATGAGGCAGAACAATCTCTTCTTCTCCGGTGAGCCCAGGCGCAGAAAGAGCCTTCTTGAAGTAGAACGTGTCCCGTTTCTTATAATTAATCGTGTCACTCTCTTCGTTGTCTTCGATCTCCACTTTTTCCTTCCATTCTCTGAAAAAGTTCGCTCCATTAGTATTTATGATATTAATACAATCCTTTTATATTATAATTAATTCAGTCAGCTATCGTTTCGTATACGACACACAAATGGATTAAATTAAAACACTTTTAACGTTAAACGTTAAATGTGTTAAGCTTATTTACAAATTATTTAAACAACGGCCCAACTGAGTCTCCCCGTGGCCACGGCTGCTGCAAAGCATCCAAAACGTCGGGCGAAATACACATCGCGTTTTAAAACGTTAAAAAGGTTTTATTTACATAGTGAACTTCAAACAGTACTTAAAGCTAGATGTTTTTTTTTAGGTATTATCAAATATGCTTAGTTTAGACAGTACATTATAGTAATGATTTATATATATGTTAATAAAAACATCTATAACGAATATAATTATAAAGTAAATGGTAGAATATGTTGGAGCACGTTACACGAGTCTAATAAAGGGTTTCATAGTTCATCTTTAACATCGGGAGCAACCCTTGTTTTAATCTAGTTGTAATTTGGGGCACCTGTTACCCGGACCCTAATAGTCGCCCTAACAACGGGCCAACATTACTTACGCAAACTTTCCGAGTGTCGGATTAGTGTGCTTTAGTTTTTCGCTAGTTACACTTAAACTTGCATGGAATAATAAATGTTAGTGTGTTGAGTCGTTAAAAATTCTATTAGAAAAATGTTGAACCCTGTGGGGATGTTTAATCAATATTTAAATGATAAAAATGCTTGGGGTGTGGAGGAACCCGCTCTTACAAGGAAAAATATGTAGTGTACTAAAAGTAAATCAAGGATGTAAAATGAAACTTGGCGATAAAAGGAGTGACGGCGAGTTTATTGCCAGTTCTTCTCGTTCGTTCTACGCTCTTGATTTGAGAACTGGTAGTAAATGTAAAGTTAGATTCTATAATTATTTTGTGACGTTCATAAGTGTACATAGTTACCTACATGAATAAATGATTTTTGACTTTGACTTTGACTTTGATCATTAAAGATGCGCCGAGTAATATTTTTCCCGAGTAACAAGTACCGGGGTTTACTCGGCTCAATTTTTCAACCGAGTACTTATTACCATTTCGAGCGCGTAAACCAATACAACAAGTTCGCGCCAGCCAACGTCGGCTCGCTCTCATCTTCTCGTAATTTTGTCTCATTACCTCACTCATTTATTATAGATTTCATTTTATTAATTGATTTTCAATGATTTCCTAAATTAGTTATAAAAGTATTTAAAACATTCATTTCTATACTATTGAAAATATCAACATTTTTGGTTTACATACTCCATAAAACTCCGTAAAACGATAAAAAATACTCGGTTCCCTACGTTTCGAACTTTCGAATTTCGAAGTTTCGAACGCGACCTCTTCTATTACGATTGACTTTAAACTTAGCTGTTTTACGCCGTTAAAAGTGTTTCATTGAAATATGTACTCCTCGCGTAAACTACGGACAATACTTGATTTAAATTACACTTTGCAAGGCTCCTATGAAACAGTACCTTGAATAAACAACGTAATTTTGTTTAAAGACAATGTATTGCGTTTACATCTGGTATATTGTTTCAATATTCTATATTGTAAGTCACAAATCCTTTGCGACTTACGGAGTTTTGTAACTAAGTTGAGTTACGGTGTAATGGTTTTTTGATATACAAACTTTGTTATATTCTGTGATTTGAATTTAGATATTTCTATTATCTACGATACTTTGTTTGATAAAATTGAAACGTGCTTAACTTAATACTCAACGCCATTATCTAATTTATTATACTAACACTAGCTGTATCAATGACTTTATCCGCGTAGAATGGTTATTTTGGGCAACGAAATTTATTTTTGCAAAACTCCTCTTCATCTTTATAAATCAAAGCCGTTACCCTGCCGCGGACATTTTCATGAATCATTTAAAGAAGAATCATTTTTTCATAATTTTTTTGAACCGTCTCCGCTGCGTACGCATCGAAAACCTACAAAGATGAGTTTCCTTCCTATTAGACTAAACGCGATGTTATATATCCTCGATACCTGCTTTAACTAACATCAAAAAAAATGGATTCAAACGAGTAGTTCCTAAGGTTAGCGCGTTCAAATAAACAATCTCTTCAGCTTTATATATTATAATAGTAACATGATAATTTCCATCTTATCCTCTAAGTAAGTTTATACTTACTCAAAGTAATAAGGTCCAACTTCCTTTACAATAGGGATCGCACCTTTCTGAATTTCGTCTGGGTTCGTGTAATTAAAGAGGAAAACTTTAAAATCGAGCGCAAAAGGAATCGTCTCCCACATTTTGCGAACATCCGTTTTCTTTGACAGCGCCATCTCCTGGGAAAATGTAGTAACTTTGGTTAATCCTAAGTAAGTGGACTAGAAATCTATAATTCTCAGCTATGTTCCAGTGAATGTCTCCTGAAATTCAGTCCAGCTGTTCCTGAAAACTCTCATAAGGAAACAGGCTTCTTGAGAATATTCCTTGGTTTCTATTTTACATTAAAACATAATTCTAGATAGAATTTTTCACACCTCGTATAATCTTTTATATGTTCTAGAGAAAAACCGAATTTGTGAATCGTGTACAGATTCATATTGTCAGTAATTTAGGTTAGTAATTAAAAAAAAATTAACGGTTTCAAATGCATTTTTAGTGTATTTTAACTACGTTAACTAATTAAGTTAACTATTCCATTTCGCATTATAAACCGTTCAGATTGTTTTATTTAAACAAAGATTCATGATAAAATTACACCGTCGTAAAACGCATTACGTTCAAGTACGTCAAAAACTTCGAAAGCACGTCCTCTTAACGTTTTCTTTATGGATATAAGAAGTTTATTTCCTATAATTTTTCTTTTATGTTCGAGCTAAGATCGGTCGCGTGGAATTTCATTTCCGCGAAGATGAAAATCGATATTCACTTAATTTTGCTTGTTATTCTTTATCTTTAGCCTAAAACCATTGTATTGTAAAGATATTGATAATAACTTGATTAATATCGTCGCTTATTTTGTTAACATTGCGTTAGGCACGAGAGAGAGGACCCCAACAATTAACTGTTACGGTCGAGATGAGCAGAAAAGTGACATTCGTTCGACATATAAATTGGTTGACATATGCTTCCATTGAAAGGTAATGGATTTCACGTATTTTTTGTTACAAGGTATGCTATGAATAAAACTTACGTTGCACAATGTTTTTTGTTTTACGGTTAAAATATTTTATATGTCCAAAAGATTTAAAAAATGTTATACTTAAATATTTAATCGAGACTCAATAGTTGTGAGTAATTATAATATTTCACAAACATATGAAAACAAAAAATTTGGGAGTAAAATCGTATAATGCCTAATTTTATTTAAATGTCATTTCTCACATTCACTTTGTATATCTGTAACAGTGAAAAATCTATTCTCGTCAGTATATAGTATAAATGAAAGTTGCTATGTGTCCATTCCTATAAATTGAATGTTTATGACTACATAAACAATTTTTTTATGTTTTCTTTAAAGGATAGAATAATTTAAGAGGAAGATTTATATGTACAATGCATAATATTCTAGAGAAACACTGATGCAGTAAGAAATCAAAATAATGTACTATGGTAGCTTTATACGTTGTTTGTTTACATTTAGTATGATTATTGTACCCGTGCAAAGCTGGGGCTAGTATTGTAGTTCAAAAGGTGCATGTGTGTGTGAAATCCCGTTTCCCCCTCGTGGGGCATGGGGCGAACATATCTGTTTTACTGATCCATTCTTTAAGAGGTTGATCAGACTTATGTGCCCTGTCTGACCGAAACTATTTTTTGTTTTCCTGGGATTCGAACCCAGGACCTCTCGCGCTTAACGCAATGCTAGGCGTTTTACCATTTGGCTACAGTGGCCACAAGTTCAAAAGGTAAATGGTGGAAATTGGAAACCTTTTTCAGCTGACTTTTCAGTATTGTAGGAAACAGGACCCATCCAAACAGTATTCCAAATAGAGCGGCCCCCGTACACCCACCCGCTACTTTCAAATGCTTTGGTAAATGCATTTGAGCGCTCCCTGTAACAAAAATTCTATATTATATAACACTAGTTGTGCCTATGACTTCGTCCGCGTGAAATATTTATTTTGTGCATTAAAAATTATAAGATTTCCGTCCCTCTTGCGAGTTAATCTTAAAATGTAGACATATAATGTCGCGGAGATTTCTTTAAATAACTTAAAGGGGAATCATTATTTCATACATATTTATATATTTTTTATTACTGAGAAGGATAGACAAGCATTCTTAATATAGAATAGAAAACCCTAGCCATATAGCATTTAAACAAAATGCGTTGTCGTCCTTTTTTTAGTTTGGATACATTTTTACATTAGCAAAGCATTTTTTTCATAAGAATAATAATATATCTCGAAGTAATGTAAAAACTAATGTTTATGTAAAAAATAGTAACAATTAAATCAAACACTTTAACGGTTTAAAACGCGATAAATTAGTTAAATTGGGGACCTCTCCCCGTGACTACGGCTGCTGCAAAGCATCCGAAACGTCGGGCCGAAGTTAAAAATCATTTTCAAATAAGTTTAACTTATTAGTTAGTATCTAAATAGTAACATCCCACAATAAAAAACGAACTTTTCATATTATAAGTTAGAGCGAAAGTTTTAAGGCTCTGAAAGTATCAAGCCTCGGCAGGATTATCTCTAATTAGTTCGGTTTCAGCGGATAAAACTCTTAGTACCTACATATTTATAAACATTTTTATACACGGCTAAAAACTACTTGTTATTTTTATTTAGAAAATACTTCAGTAGTAAAATACTGTCTATAGTTTACGCGAGTAGTACACATTTAAATAAAACACTTTAACGGTTTAAAACGCGATATATTAGTTAAACTTATTTGAAAATCATTTTCAATAATTTTTATTTAAATAGTTTTATATAAATACTTCAGTAGTTATTTGTGTTACCTTTATAACCAGTTTGCTTAATTTAATTGCGTTATTTAAGTGATCTTTGATAATCTCCTCGAAACATTCATGTAGCTTTTTTTTCCTCGTTTCAATACATCGTTAGCACACGAGCGGGTTCGAATTCAGAGAAAACGACAAATTGTTTTGGTTGTGCAAGATGTAACGAAAATACGAGCTTAACTATATTATAAAACATGGAGAGCGGTCGTGGACTAATTTTATTAATCATGCAAATTTGGTTTAATAAGTTGATCTATGTTACATTCGGTTGTATTAGATAAGTTAATAAAAATTCAAATTCCACTTTTTTTTTGTTGTGGAACAGTCTGGACTTCTACATTGTTCTTACATTACTGTAATTCAACTTGACAAGTACACATATCCGATATGTTTACATTTACCAGATGTTGTTTTCCAGTCACAGAAATCTATTTGCCCCATACGCCCAAAACCAAAAGGGAAATCGGATATTTTTTACATTTTTATAGTGTCTATTTATTTCATGAATTATAACGTCAAATATTTGAAATACTTATAATGTAGGTGCAAAACTTAATAAAAGTAACAATTGATAATTTAGAATTTAAATGCATTTAAAAAATTACATCCAAATATTGAATAATTCCATTTGGTGATTTAAAATTATAAAGACCATGGATGCAACATGGTTCATGGTTGCACATCTAAATGCAATTCTGTGCACGTGGAACATTCCCACGGTCGTGACACGAGCTGTTAGCAGTAACAAGGATTTCACTAGTGGTACTGTTGTATATGGTTAAATAAAGAAAACTAGATGGTTCCCTTTGCCTACCCTTTTCAAAACTATTCTAGTTCGTCTTTATGATCTTTTGCTTAGAGAACCACTCATCCTTAACGTAAGCACTAGAAATTCTAGATTTGAAACCCTGAAATGGCCGGAAATAATCTGATTCTTGAACGGACAAATAAGTTTTAGTTAGTTTAGTATAGCAGTATTAGTGGTCCGTTCATAAAATATACGTTATATATTTATAATTTCAATTGGATAGAGTTGATAAGAGCTTAGACCCACTATCATGGCGATTGGGTCAAATGGGGGTATTGTAACGACCGGGACCGAAGGCGTTTTGGGGCGGGCATTCAAAATTTTTACAATTTACTTCAAGGTAAAATAATTTCACCTGTTTAACTAACGTTTATATTAAATACTGTCGATAGTATAACGTTTATGTTTTCCAAAATTAATTAAAACCTATTTGGTAATTCTAACTTATGTAACCAAACACCGTTTCCTTATGAACAAGCGAAGAAATGGTTAAATAAAATCATTGAATTTCAAAATAAATGAAATGAACTGGAAAAATATTAAACTTACTTTAAAAGGTAATGAATACATACGTGTTCGTTCTGTACAAAGTGGCAGCTGTTCGAACGCTTGGAAAGTATTGCAATAGGTTCCACAGTGGCAGGTACAGTCGTGTACACAATTTTAAACAGTGAAACCCTCTATGTGGATCATGTTATATTATCTGTGTATGTTTCTGCAACGTTATTTAAGTAATTAGACTTTTGTGCTCTGTTACTAATCTCTTTCCTCAGGCTTCGAACCCAAATATACAAGTTGAATAATTTTCCCCGTTTTTTTTACATTTCCCGCTATTTCAAAACAAGTTTAACTAAACTAAATTACTTAGACTTACAATATCTATAGGATTACTTTCATATCTATGATCTTAACGTTCGGTAACCTAAATGACATCGTTGCTTGAAGGAATTGGTTTATTCGATTATCAAGTATTTTATTGTATATTAGTCCTTACTTCTTAAGTAAGTTCTTCTTCTTCTTCCCGCTTTATTTATTTGACGCTGCGTTGATTCAATTTGTTCCGACTCTTTCACCACTCATAATCGTATCGAATTTTATAATAAACAACAAAATTCTATTAAAAAATATAAAATGAGGCTGCTAGAGCTGACTCTAGAGTGGGCTATTAACAAAAAACATCATTTTCAATAAGGAAGCAAATAAAAATGCGCAATTAACTTGGGCGAAAATTAATTTATACTATTATTTATGTAAGAATTATGTTAACAATTAACAATAAACTTTTTGAGACTGTAAAAATATATAAGTGAAGTCAGTAAAATTTTATTATTTAATATGTATGTGTATAATATGAGTAAATAAAATCGATCAGTAAAACTTTCTATTCCTTAGTAATCCCTAGGGAGAGAAGGAATGATGTTAAAAAACACAAATATGCAGATATATCTATATATCATAAAATTAAGAATCAGTAAACTATGCTAAAATATTTGAACCCTTTAACGGTTTAAAACGCGAAAAAT